GATACATATAGTCCCCAAGCGGGGTGAAGAGATAATGATTCTGAACACCCCCGATTACTTTTGACCCTTGGTCAAGTTAATTTGGCCTGGGGTTAAAAGGTTTAAATCAAAATAACTGCCACGGTAAAAAGAAAAAGCCAATCAAGGAAACTTAAGTTTGTCTTAAATCCACATATTTAGCTAAAAATGCAGAATAATCATTACAATGATAAGATAATGAACTTAAAAATTGAATTAGAAATAATAAACTAATAAGTAAAACTAAATATTAGATATTCTAACCAACACTGTGTGCCCACACATTGGTAAAAGTTTCATTTGTTTTAGTCCAATGTCCAGGTTAGAACTACCACACTGTGGCAAATGTTATATTATACCAGCATGGTATAATTAAGTTAGCCCTAAATTAAATCCATAAACCAAGCTAACAATATAAAGTAAGTTTTATAATGAAAAATAAAGTTCAAGTTAGTTGTAATAAATATGATAAACAATATTTTTAATAAAAGTAAACCTGCAAAAGGAAAAATCTAATTCTGTTTCAACAATTTTTATTCAAAAATATTCGGTTAGTTTGTAACATTTATTTAGTTGTAATTAGTAAAGAAAAATTATAAAATATTCAAACTTTTATTTTTGTGAAGCTTCAAGGAGTTTTGTCTTTATTATAAACAACCAATTTATCAGTTTTTCATTTGGGATTTTTATTTCCAACCCAAAGTATTGGCTTATGTTTGCTAAGAAACTTTCATATATCTGTATGTCTTGTTTCTCATGTGATTTTCCTTCTCTGTTAGTGATTTTATTATTACAGCCTTTCATGGTGACCCTTTTATGATGTCACAACACAAGGTTTGAATAATTATTTATGAAACTCATATTTTAAAATATCTATAATCAACATTTAAATGGGATGGATATAACAGGTTTTAAGCTATTTACTCACTGCAAAGTAAATAAAGTGATTTGAGCAGTAATTTATAGGTTCTTGAGATATTGACTTGTCTTGGTATCTGTAGGGGTGAACAAAGGGAATATATGTTTAGAAGACTTAGGAACAAACCGCAGGTCTGAGACTTTTCATAGTTTCGTTAGACATTCTTTTTGTTGATATATATATATTTGTATTAAGTTATATTTGTTTGACAGCAACAGAAATTTTCTTCTATGACAAGACATCAGGTAAGCTTAGTCATGTTTAATCAGTATGGTAGACAATGGCAAAATATTTCAGTGACTGAACTTAAATATTATCAGATTCAAAATATTCACACAAATAAAACAATGTATTATTTATTGAAAATAAACTGTTGTTATACAAACCAAGAATATATTTAGCAAAATTCTTAATACTTAGCCTGGAAAAAAATAATTGATTCCATTGCAAAAGTTGAGAACCTAGGTCACTTATTTTAGGAAAAAAAAAAAATTTTTTTTTTTACCCTTTTATATTTTGATTTATAGCCAGAAGTGGTGACTACTGCAATTGCAAAAATAAGGTATCAAAAAATTATGTTATTGAATATATGTTGAAATTGACTGGATATGTAAAAATGGAAATTTCTGATCAACAGTAAAAAAAAAAATGGAAATTTTATGATGTAAGAAAGTATTTTTAATGTTAAAAAAACCGTTTCAATTGATTTTTGCAATTTTCACAATCTAAAAAATGATGGAAATGCTAAATCAAATTGTATGAATTCTTTTTAAGTCAAAACTAGATTCTATTCACTAAAGTTTTCTTAAGTTTCGTATAATTTCTCTAAGAAGTAGAAAGATCAGGAAATATCAATGATAATCCTACCATCTGGTCCAAAAAAGGTTTGTTGAACCATAAAACTGATGAGGTTTGTTTGATATTTTGATTTTGTTTCATGAATATTATAAATTTCTGTTTCCTCCTCTCTCTTGTTTTTCTTAGTTTTAAGTTTTGATTTTCATTGCATAGTTTCTTTTGAGGTTTGATAATTCCTTTACTTTTCACTGAAGGATCGAGCTAACAGTTTGTTTAAACAAGTTCATGATGGAAAGACATTGAAAGGCAGAAGTAATGATGCAATTGCATCATCCTGCTTATATATAGCTTGCAGACAAGAAGGTGTTCCAAGAACCTTTAAAGGTATGTTATTGTTTCCACAGATACTGAAATATAATTAACTTTATGAAAAAAAAAAGTGTTGTATATATTCAGAAAACAATCATCTGGAAATCAGAGAAGTGGAAGCAGAAATCTAATTTCCATGTATCTGTAAAAGTATTTTATATATCAGCTTTGATATATAATCTACATATATATATGTTATCCTTCTATTAAAAAATTGCAGACTTGGGGTTTTCTTGTCCTCTTGTTAAGTACACTGTGTGTGAAGCATGTGAATTTGTGTCATGTACCATATTATATTTGAATTATGATGAAAAAGAAATAAACATTTCATTTCCAGATTGCCGGCAAGTACTGACTACACATTTAGAGTTAAATAAACAAGTAAGGCCAATTCAGGCATTACTTTTAATACAAGTGTAAGCTGTAATTGATACTTTGATATATATATGTGGTTCTAGAAACTCATAATTTTCATCTTACTTAATATTTGTTCATTGAAAGTTCCTGATTAACTTTTTCTTTCACTGTCATAGAAATATGTGCTGTTTCCAAAGTATCTAAGAAAGAGATAGGGCGTTGTTTTAAACTGATCCTAAAGGCTTTAGAGACTAGCGTTGATCTCATCACAACTGGAGATTTCATGGTAAGGTTTTATTAATATTCTTTTGCTTTAGCCTGAAAAAATTGGTTAACCATTATATGTTTTTGGTGTGCTTGACAGTCAAGTGTTTTGTTAGAGTTCTTTTCAAGTACAGTATTTTTACATAAAATAAACTTAAAATTGGTCTAAGAATAATTGTTAATATTTTAGTGCTAGTAGTATAAGAAATAAAATAGATGACTTTAGAGCACTGATAGAAATGGAGGATTTTGATATAATGGGAATAACCGAAACATGGTTAAAAGTAGATGGTTTGATGACAGAAATTTCTTTGAAATACAGGGTTACAGGCTATTTAATAGGGATAGAGTATTAAAGAAGGGGGAGTGGTTTTAAATGTAAAATGTGAGTAACATCCAGTGAAGTTGAGGATTTCAAAGGTGATTGAATCCATTTGAGTTTCTATTAGTGGATATAAAGGGAAATGGCTTTTAGTGAGAATTTGTTACAGACCACCAAAAGATACTGATGAAATTGGTGAGAAACTTTACTATGAGATTAAGATTTCACCTGCTAATGAAGTCATAATTATGGGTGATTTAAATTTTGGGCATATAGATTGGGAAATGCTTGGGTCAAACCGTGAGGGAGAAAGGTTTTTGGAAACTGTTCAAGATGGATTTCTTCACCAATTAGTCAAGGAACCAACTAGAAACAATAGAAGTTTAGGTTTATTGTTAACTTCGAGTATAGAAATGATTGAGAAGGTGGAAATTGGGGAACATCTGGGTGCAAGTGATCATTGCTCTATTGGGTTTGATGTTTTGCTGCATATGAAGATAAGGAATAATGATAGTTTGGTTACAGATATAAAAAAAGCAAATTTTGAAGGAATGCAACAAGAATTATCTGTTGTGAATTGAGCAGCTGAGTTATTTGGAGACACTAATCAGAGGTGGAAAATTTTTAAATAATCGAGGTAAACATATTCCTTATAGAAAGAAAAGGGTAGCTGCAAGTAAAAAACCAGATTGTCTCATAAAGAGTATCAGATAAAATTAAAGAAAAACATCATAAAGTTAAGAAATTTAAATTGACTGGTATGATAGGAGATTTAGAAGATTAGAAGATCAAGAAAGTTGGTGAAACAGGAAATTAGGACATCTAAAAGGATGTATGAGAAAATGTTGGCTGAAATTGTAAAAATTAACAGTAAGGATTTCTTTAAATACATTAGGGGTAAACAAATTGTTAGGATAGGACCCTTGAAGGATGATAAAAGAAGGCAAGTATCTGCTGATTATGAGATGGCTGGGTTATTAAATTTTGCATTTTCTTTGGTTTTTACTAATGAAGATTTAAGCAGTATTCCACATCTTGATCAGTTGATAAATGGAAACGAGATCAAACAAGATGACTGAATTAATTCTGAGCTGGTTAAGAAAAAATTGGGAAGTTTGAAAAATGATAAGGCTAGAAAAAGCCAGATAATATTTCCCCAAGGGTTTGAAGGAGGTGGACCATTGCTCTTTTTAATTTACATCAATGGCCTAGACGAAGGGATAGTCAATAAATTACTTAAATTTGCAGATGATATTAAGGTCTTGGGTGTTGCTAGCTTTGAAGAGGATTTAGATCATTTAGTGAGTTGAGCAAATAAATGGCAGATGGGTTTTAATTATAATAAATGCAACATAATGCACGTGGGTTATCATAATTTGAATTATAAGTATAATTTGGATGGGAATAATCTTAATGGTATTGTGAAAGAAAGGGATCTTGGTGTAATAGTCGATCAGTTTCTAAAGCCATCCAAGTAGTGTGATGTTGCTAGCGGTAGGGCAAATAGGATTTTAGGTTGTATTCATAGATATATTCAATACAAGTATAAAGAGGCTATGCTTTCATTGTTCAGGTCACTGGTTAGGCCACATTTTGAAATATTGTGTTCAGTCTTGGGCTTCTTACCTTAGGAAAGACATTGAATTGTTGGAAAAGGTT